TTCTCCTGGATGCCGACCTCAATCCCTTACTTAGGTATCCAACTTCCAAAACTATCTTCTAATTGTTTCGCACTTAACTACAAACCTCTCATTAAACAACTCCCTACAAACCTTAATTAACTTAATAATGTATAACTCTCCACATCAGGCAGAATCGTAGGTTTCAAAATGTTAATAATATTATATATTTTCCGTACCATTCCTATAACATAGTTACATAGTATTTGAGGTTGAATAAAGACATTAGTCCATCAAGTCCAACCTATTAGGATCTCATTCTAGAGCCCATATTAGTAACGCCACCTGCTTTTTTCTTTAAGGCCCTCCACCAACAACTTCTACGATTTATTTGGCATGGGAAAACTCTGAGATGTCCAGCTAATATCCTTTACAAAAACAAACTGGCTGGCAGTTTAGCACTCCCCAACCTGATACATTACCATAAAGCGCCCCTGCTAGATCAACTTCAACACTGGTGTAAACCTTCATCTAATTAACTTTTAACCATTAATCATTGAATTCTTATTAGCTCACAAACTCTACACGAATGAGACCTTCCTTTTCACCTCCCTATCTACTACATCCACTCAAAACCTTTCAACCCTCATCATGGTCCTTCACTACATTATCCCGCACCTTAACTTGACAAAATGATTACAACTGGGAATTACCCAATTAGTTGACATGTATATTTGTAGGCTGACAACTGCTTCTGCGCATGCGCCTGGGGCACGTTTTACGTCTAACTGGTAATGCGCACACAACGGATGTATGCACGCAAACGTGCGCGTGGCAGTCGCACACGAAATTACGCTCGTCCATCTAATAGATTGGCCTATTTATACCAGCCTGTCATATCCTTAGTTGCTGGATGATCTTCAGCTAGTTTCCTGTGTCCCTGTGCTTCTGCTGAATTCCTATTTCCTGTGCCTGACCCGGATTGCTCTTGACCACCCCTGATTGCTGCCTGCCTCCTGACCTCGGCCTGTTTACTGGACTTCTCTTTGCCTTCTGTTTTGTACCTGACTGCCCGGCTGGCTTTGACTCCTCGGCTTCCACCTGACTACGCTCCTGTCTCATGCTCCGGTACTCTGTTGCCCGCTCGGATTGACCTCTGCTCTACTTGACCTACTCCAGTTCCAGATCCTGGACTTTCAGTACTACACAGTGTCTGCATCATCCTTGTCACTCGTGCCAGGGCCGAGGACCGCAAGCTGCAAGGGAAGCCTCCTCAACTATCGGTCTCCAACCAGGTACGTGACAATATTCAAGATACTTTGAAATCCATGAAAAAATTATCTGATCAATGCCATCACTACTATCAAATTACTCATTTACTGCGTCAGCAACCCTTTCCAACTATAATGTCTATTAATTTAAAAATGTACCAATTTTTATATGGCAATTCTCAGTCTCAGGGAGGTATTGCACTGTTCTATGCTTATTTAGGAGATAATTCATTTTTCAAATCTCCCCAGATGTTGAAATGGGAACGTGATTTGGGGATTACCCTCTCCACGTCCCAAAGGCAAAACGTTTTTCGAACATCCTACAAGACACCTTTATGTGCCAATCATTGGGAAATATTTTACAAATTAGTTAACTGCATTTCACACTACTCTTCCCTCCTTTACCCTCTGCCTTTCCTTCTCTCTGTAACATCTATTATATTTACATTTCCGCAGATTGTAGTGAATGTTAGCACCGTGGTTACACACCTTGTTACTCTTAATACTCACAAATTATTGTGTCGAACCATATGCTATTGATGTGAATTCTCTACTACCTTTAACTATATCTGCACATTAGATGCTTAACTGTTTGTATTACAACAAAAAATTTCAATAAAGATATATATTGTTAAAAAAAATTTGGTGTTGGATCCTTTTCTGGATAGAAAACAATATTTGCCCAGAGACCAGGACACTTAATGGGATTTTTACCCCTTTTCCCACTTCAAATGAAGTGAATGTTTGCTGAACTCAACAATCCATAACAAGATTAAAACATACAAAACATTCTTGCCCACTGAAGGGTACAGAGCAAAGTAGGTCTAAAGGAGGATCTGAGTTGCAAAAAGTATAAAAAAAATATGTACAATTTTATTAGAAAATATAAAAATATAACAGATGGCTGTGACAGAAGGCAGAACATGAACCGATCAAGGACTCGAAAGCATAGGAGAAAGAAGACAGGAAGGAGGAGATTTGTTGGATCTGATAATGGAGCTGGGCATGATCGGAGGAGGAGGAGGGTGTTAGTAGGGAGAATAGGCAGTGCAGAAGCTGTTTACTGTAAAGCATCACAGATTCTAGTAAAGAAACAATATGAGAGAGGATTGTGCTGACTGAAAATGGACACTGCTGAGTAAACAGATTTCAGAAGTGGTACAGTTTCCTGCTACATTAACTCCTGATTGTGGAATCCTCCAGCAATTAAATCATAAGTGATAATATCTCTTTGCAAGAGGCTGGGATAAGACTCACATATTCAATGAGCAGTTGGTGAGGGGTAACCACTTAGATCCAGGTTCTGCTCTATATATACTGAGCACTTACACAAAAAAAGAATGTACCCTAATCCCCTTAATAGTTGGTTATTAGAATATTTATGAATCTGTATATGTTAAAACATATGAGAACAGGCAGGCTTTCATCAGTTAAAATGACTTTACTGCCAAAACTACTATACCACTTTAGTACCCTGCCTGTAAGAATACCTGCACTAGATCTCAAATCCTTTCAAGGGGAGGTCTTAGACTATATTTGGGATGGTAAGAGACATCGTATCTCTCAGGGCATACTCTATTCGTTGACAGCTAGGGGGGGACAGGCACTGCCACATCTAATTTACTACTACTATGCAGCTCAATTGCGGGCTATACCGATACTATCACAGTATAATCCCACCACTAGTTGGGTGGCGATAGAGGGGCAATGGATATCACCGACTCATCCAATGCATTATTGTGGTCTCAACCGGTGCTACTTCCCAGGTGTAAACTGCTCTCCTCACTGATCCTGATGCTAGACATTTGGCGTAGGATTAAGATCACTTGTGGTCTTATCTCACCTCATTCCTCCTTGACTTCTTTCTTACTGAATCCAAGACTGCAATCTGGTATGTCACGTGAATGGGTAGGGACGTGGCAAACTAAAGGCTTGTTCACCATACGAGACCTTGTGGATGGAACTTCCAACAGACTTTTAACATTCGAACAGTTGAAGGATAAATATGACTTACCCTCACGGGCGCTCTTTTCTTACCTTCAAATCAAACACTTTGCACAATCACTAACACAGTTTCTGATCTTCGAGCCTAGAACGCCCTTTGAACGGCTGTGTGATACTACATGCACATCTAAGGGTCTGATTTACTCTATATATCACCTGTTAAATGATAGCCCCATGGTAGGCTTCACGAAACAACCCTATATGCTTAAATGGGAAGCAGATTTAGGGATCTTGATTACCCAACAATGGAAGCTCATTTGGCAAACAGCCGCAAAGTCCTCCATCTGTTCAGTATATAGAGAGAACCAATATAAAATAATGTACCACTGGTATCATACACCTGACTTTCTACACTCTATATACCCGTCGGTGTCTGCGCACTGTTGGAAATGTGACGGGTCTAGAGACTCTTTATACAATATATTTTGGACCTGCTCTGCACTCAAGCCTTTTTGGGACATGGTTAAACTTACATTGGAAAATACGCTGGGACAATCCCTTCCCCTTTCACCAGTTCATTAAGTCTTGGGTTTGCCATTCCCTCACTTATCCAGAGTAGACAATAAATTAGCAATGCATGTCCTGACGGCAGCCCGCTGCCTCCTCTCCCTTCAGTGGAAAAGAAGGCTCCCCCCATCCCGACTTGAATTCTACGCCCGGATCAAGGATGTCCAAGCTATGGAATCCTTGACGGCCCGACTCAATAATAGACTCACTGCTTATGAAAAAGTCTGGAGAGCATGGACCATCTGGGAAGAGCAACAAGGTTCATAGGGATCTAAGCTATACGAATGGAAATTGAGATCTGGATGTAGGACAAGGCATACATTACCATTGTTGCACCGAGGTATAGCAGTCGGGATGCTGAGCTGACTCTACTCTAGCCTACTCACCTACAAAGATAAATGTCCTGGAAGAATATCTATATCTTTTATCATTTTATTTTCCTTCTTCTTTTCCACATCCTACTTTTTCTCGTCTCTCTTTCTCTCTCTTCTCTTTTAACTAAGTTAAAGAGAGAACTTCTCTTTTGCAGCAGACTGCCTTGTCTCTGAAATGGATACATGGTGTCTGTGTGAAGGTTCACAACCTGAGCCAGCACTACAGGAAGAGGCACTCAGCTGCAAAGGGAAGTTCTCCCCAAGCATGAGAAGAGATAAGGATTGAAAAGGAAGAGCAGCAAAGAGAAGGGAAACTACCATGGATTACAGTAAGGCACACATTACAGTATTGGTTTATCTTAAAAAATCTGAGGGTTTAATGTCACTTTAAGTGATGCTCAATAGGCATACGACAGTCTAGATTAGAAGATATGTAGAATGCGAAGTATTTTTAGAGCATACCAAAGCTATGTTAGATATAACAGATATGCATATACGTAAAGATTCATAAGTATGTATAATGAGATGGATTTGCTAAAATCGCCATTATTTGCTTTCTGTTAAAGGAACTTCTTATTGACTGTCTACTGTTCGAAACTTTTGCATGTGTGTATGTAAGTCATGCTTTTCATGAAAGCAAAAAAAAAAACAACATATGAGACTACATATCCACATTTTAACATATCCACTGCTTTATTCCACTAAGGCAATCTTATAATTACACTAAGGCAAACTGATGGTTGTGTTCAAATATGTTAGCACTGCATTGCATGTTAGGAACAAACTACAGAATACCTCATTGCAATAACTCGAGCATAAAGTGGACCTAAAAATCAGTACAGTGTTTATAGAACTATTTGTAATTTAGCTGCATTTTTAGAATTACCAATTCTTCCACAGTGGCCATGCCCTTATTTCGCAGACGCAGAGTCTCTCTCCCACTGGACACCTTCCCTTCTGGGGGACATTTGTTTGGTCTGCCTCTCTGTCCAATCATATCTGTGAAAACACAATACAATTTTTTTTTTACTTTAATACTTTTTATTATACCATTTTAAAATAGGGCTGGTAATGATTAAAATTTTCGTGTTCGATTAATCGAATTTTTTTTAATCAATTAATTTCGATTAATTATAACGCACATACAGATCCAATACATTGGCCTATACACATGCAGCACAGCAATGAAGTAATAAAATTAACTAGGATCACACTAATCCAGCACGTTATTAATCTCACGTGCCCCACTCAATATGGCTGCCGCTTGAGTGGGGCAACTCAGAATAATAACGTGCTGGATTACAAATGTATTTACATAGTATAGTAAAACAGCAAAGCCCTAAGGGTGATTTAAACATAAGTATTAGCTTAATATTTGAAGTAGCAGCACCTGTCCATTCCATCTAAGGACCTGATTGCAACATAATATCAGTAAATTTCAATGGGTACATTTCTGGGAGCGAGATGGGGGGTGGGGGGGTTAATGGAGAGCCACATAGTGCATATATATAAGTTTAAGATAAGACAGAAGCTTGGTGCTTCTTGGGCAAACTCACCGGCCCAAGTGGCTCCGTCGGCTAACGAAGGGAAGGGGGGAGGAGTCCGGTGACGTCGATGACCGTGACGTCATCGGACTCCTCTTCCCTTCATTAGCCGACTGAGCCACTTGGGGAAGGGGGGATGAGTGCGGTGACGTCAATATCCGTGACGTCACCGGATCCCCGACGGGACTCCCGGAAGCCGGCGGAGAGGTGAGTCTTTTCATTTTCGATCAAAAGAATTTTAATCGATCAAAAAGTTTAATGATTAATCGAGAAATTAATCGTTAATTTCCCCAGCCCTATTTTAAAAGTTTAGAGAAATGTACATAACATATACTCCAATCACACATCAGCAAAAAAAAAAACAGACTAACAACACACCAACAAAACAAAATGGAAAGATTCAATATGATGATTATAAGAAACAAAAGTAAAAGATCCTCATACGAGTTGAATACAGTTGATCACGCTCTTTTCTTATACAAAGTCTTCTACTAGCAGTAACGTCATATACATACATTGGCACTATATGTATCCCACTTTCACCACATTTTCCAGTACTTATCTAAAATGCCGCAGTGTTTTGACATTATTTTCTCAAATGCAACCACTCTTTCAAGTTCTTTTCTCCACTCCCCTTTAGTAGGTGTAACTGCCGACATTCTACGTTTAAGGATTCATATACACAATACCCAAGGGTTACTAATAAGCCAAACCCCAGATTACATATATTTCATCTAGGGATGTCCCGATGCCACTTTTTCAGGCCCAAGTACAAGTACATCATCCAATATTTCATACCAATAATGCTTTAATTTTGGACACCTCCACAACAAATGTATCAATAACCCTGGTTCAATACCACATTTTGGGCACTTAGAATTCTCTCTTTGTCCTATTTAAACATAAACTCTGGGGGCCTATATGTCCTATTGACGATATAGAATTGTGTTAACATATGGGAGGTGGTAACACCAGCTGGACTGTTCGCAGCACCTCCTCCCATATACTATCTTCTATTAAGGCCAAATCCACCTCCCAGCCTTCTCTGCATTTCAGGGGCGATTTACTTCACACCTCTGGGAGAAGATCAGAATATAACTGTGAAATCACCCCCCTTGTCGCAGTTGCTTTAAATTTTATATCCATAACCAAACTTGAGCCAATATAAACATCGCTAATACCAGGATGTGTTGTAAGCGCATGTCTCAATTGTAGATATTTGTAAAACTGGGAATTCTGCAGCAAATATTCAATTTGTAGAGACTGAAATGTTCTCATCGTACCTTTGTCATAAATGTGTGCTAATGTCAAAATTCCTGCTCTTTTCCATACTCCAAAACCTTGTAATTTAGCCACTTCAAATATTTCTCTATTTTCCCATATTGGGTTATACTGTATGTTGTAAACTTATGAATATTCAACAGGCCTTAAGATGATTTCCATACTTTACCAAGCAGTCTTATAGTGGGCAAAGATGCAAATTCTTTCAAATATAGTGTTGTCTCTAGGGCCATTAAGGGATCTTTTGCTTGAAACGAGTATTTAATAAGAGAATAAGCCCCTGATCTTTGCCCTGCTTGCTGCCACCCCACTAGATGTCTCAATTGTGAGGCTAAAAAAAGAAATCCATGGGTTAGGTAACCCCCTTTCCCCTTCAGATACTGTAGAATCTCTAACTTAATACGCGATTGCTTCTTTCTCCAAATCGGCTCTAAACACTGTATACATTCTGTAGAATTATGCAGTATATAAGGCAGCTGAGGCATCCAAATTTTAATAATATTGGGTCTACCCAACGGTGTCAAGGGGAGCCTACACCATGTATTGCATTGTTTCCTAAATTTCTGCAAAAGAGGTGTTATATTGTCTTCCACATAATTCACACTGTTTACACCGAACTCCCAGATACACAAATTAGTCCACAATTTGTACATGTTGCAGTTGCACACATAATGGGTCCTGCACTGGATCTATCGGAAGAAGCATTGACTTGCACCAATTTACCTCCAACCCTGAATATTTCCCAAAATATAAAAGTATGGAAATAACCTCTATCAAGGAGTAATTAGTATCTGCCCAAAAAAAATAAACGTATCATCTGCATATAATATTATCTTATCTTCCTCTTCCCCATGTTTAAATCCCACCACTTTAGGTGATCTTCTTATTAAGTTGGCTAATGGTTCTATCGCCAGAGAAAATAGAAGGGGTGACAAGGGGCACCCTTGCCTAGTTCCCCTCGTTAGCCTAAAGGCTGAGGATACCGACTTATTCACTTAGATTTTAGCAAAGGGACCGACATACAACAACCAAACACTCAAAATAAACCTAGGGCCAAATCCAAACTCTGTAAGTATTGCCCAGAAATAATCCCACTCTACGCTATCAAAAGCTTTTGCAATATCCAAAGATAGCAAAGCTCTATTACCTATTTGTCCAGAGGGCAATTGCATATTTAAATAGATCAGCCGTATTATATATCAGCCATCGATTTATATGGCATAAAGCCACATTGTAACTATGTAACTATGTAACATTGTTCAGGATTTATTATTGTTTGGATTATGTTTGATAGCCTGTTTGCTAGCACTTTTGCGATCTATCTTAACATTAGCTCCTAGCAAATAAAAAGTTCTGTAAGATTCCGGCAACAATAAATCCTTCTCTTTTTTTCTGTAGAACTATAACTGCAGTCATACACATAGATTCAGGCAGCCTCCCTATTTATATTGCCTCCTTATATGTTTGCAATAAGGTGGGCAACAAAAAAGAGCCAAATTTCTTGTGCACCTCTATCAGGAGGCCATCCATACCCAGAGCTTTCCCATTTGGAAAACTAGCCACCGCCTGTTCTAACTACTTCAAAGTAATCAGTGTTTCTAAATTCTCCTTATCTAACTGGGATATTTTATTACATTATATAGTATCTAGAAACTGCATAAGGTCCTGCCTTGTATGCATTACCTTCGTAGTATATAGCGCATTATAAAACTGTTTAAAATTTGATAAAACATTTTCAGAATCAGTGTAAATACTGCCATCAAGGTCCTTTAATGCCTTCACGTATGGAAGAGAATCTTGTGACCGTGACAATTGAACAAGCAATCTCCCAGTGTTCTCCCTCTCTTCCCAGTACTTTTGATTACCAAAAAATAATACATTTTTTGCCTTTTCCTTTTTAATGTGTTTGAAATGCTCTGGGGCTTTACACCATTCTCAGTACATCTTTTCATCTGGATTCAATATAAACTGGGCTTCCTTCTTGCCCGCTTCTATCCGTGCCTCTTCCTCCTCCTTATTCCACGTCCTTCTTACCCTACCAATCTGTTGAATAGGTTATCAAGGTTCGGTCCGGTGCGATCAAAATAGTGCTTGTAGCATTTTGATCGCACCGCACTGGACCGCAGGCACAATGTTCGCATTGCAGCCGAAGGGTGTGGCTATGGTGCCATTCACTTCAATGGCCAGCCACGCCCCCTCCGGCCCCACAAAACACTGAGCCAGCCGCAATGCGATGTAGTGCGTTCCGGCCAAAATGTGGCTGGAACGCACTGCATATGGTGTGAACAGGCCTTTAGTAACAGTTAACAGATTTTGATAATTTTTTACTGTGATGGTCATTGATAAAAAAAAAAACTATTGGTATTGAGGCTGATTTACTAAAAGATTTCGCTTTAGGACTTGTTCACACCGAATGTGGTGCGTTACAGAGTGGTAGCTGCTGGAACGCACCGCAATCCTTCACAAAACTGCCCCCTGTGTTCTGGGGTGCAGATTTCAAT